GTTACATCCTTTCCAAGATACTACTACAATACATACTCCATCAGTAATATAAAGAAGATCGGAGAGAATTTGATGGTATAATGATTTATTTTTTGGTGGAAATATTTGGAAAGAAATGAACCGAAGAACTTTCCAACATACCTCTTTGCAACCTTAGCAAAAATATCTCACAGGAGCAACGCTAGGACAGCAGTCCTTCTGAGATGTTCTGTTCGGGTTAAGTTTTTGGCTTAGTTACAAGGTACGATGGTGTAAGGAAGCGAGGACGCGGTAGTAGTATGATATACATACGTCACATCATTGAAAGCAAGTGACGTGTGTCCGAGATGACATCAGAAAAACCGTACGGATTGGTGCCCAACTGCCCATGCATGCTCTGGCCACCACAAGAGTCCCGGCAAATACGTAAATGAATGCCGAACGAAAAGGATCTGGATACACTGTTCCTCGTGCCTGTGCTTTGGGCTCCGGCTAGAGCTAGCAACGGCTGCGGGGACCTTGATCTCCTCTCTGGATTTCCTCGTTTTCTCTTGACGTTCCTCCTCTTTGAGGCTTCTTATCTCTAAATGGCGTTGGTGGGCGTTGGCCGGAACCCACATGCTCTCATAGGCGATGCAACTCACGGTTGTCGTCGGTTCGTTTCGACTCAGTGCTTTACAACCTCCTAGCTATCATCTGTTGGACCCGACTCGCTTCCGCTGCTTGTGGTTAAAGTTCTTTAGAGTTTGTCTTTGGTGGCGGCACAGGTCGGGGATGTGGTGTTTGCACTAGCTCCAGATGTAGGCCGAGCTTGTAGCTTTACCATGTTATTGTTTGTTTTGTTTTTGTTGGTGTTGTATTCCTTCTCTCTTCTCCTATGTCATATACTTCTGTGACCTCCAAGGATTGTCTCTGTAATAGGTGCATTGCATCCTTCCACACACCGGTTTATCGAGATCTATGGAATGAAATCAGGTGGGGATCGGTTTAATCCCCGTAGTTGACCTCAAAAAAGCTAGAGCTAGCAATAACTCACACTTCATTCATGGAGACAATCCTATCTCTCTCTTGCAAGACTAATGTCTTGGAGACAAAATCTTGAAGTAGTACAGCCGGGCAGCCGGCTGTGGCTCAATGGGAACAGCACGTACACTTGGAACACGTTCGTGAGGTTCAAAGTCTCTACGTACTCAACATTAGCATTTTTTTTTTTGCTAATTTCTTTCTAGTGTGTGCCATCAATAACAAGACGTCTCTCAAACGTGCTCATTGGCCGCGCGGGACGACCAGGACGACGACGACGATTGAGAACAGCTGGCGCGCGGTTTCAATGTACCGACACTTGGCAGGTGAGATGCCATGCAAATGAATGAGGGTCTGCATCTACCCTGCCATCCGTGCGACGACGCTGACCCCACCGACGGTCATTTGTTGTTGTGGCTGACATGATATGACAGCTCCTTTGGCGGCTTGTGCTCGTTTCCGGAGAAGTTTGATCCATTAATTTACGGAAGGAGACAATTTAGCACATCTAAACATGGTGGGTGTTCGGTTTAAACCGAAATTTCGGTTCGGTTTGTTTGGTTTTATAAAATTTCTGTTTTCAAGAATAGGGAATAAATTGTTTCATTCCAGAAAAGAGAACCGATAAATTTGGTGTTGGTTTACTACTTTTGTTTTCGGTTTTCAACCCAAGAAACCGAGCTATGAGGTGTCGCTGCGTCTGCGTTAGGCAGCCTCACCGTGGCATGTGCCACACCTTGCTTGCACCTCCAGCCGTGCCCTGCCTACTCCGCCGCCGGACCTTGCTGCAGATGTGCCACCATCGGACCCCAGCTCCCTGAGCGTGTCGTCGGAGCCTGCTTCTTGCTCGCCGCGGTGCCAAGGGGATCCCTGCCCGCGGTGTCACGCGAAGAGCTGCTCCCTGCGGCGTGAAGTTGCTGGTCCTGCTGGGTTAGGGTTAGGGTGCGGATGGGGATGGGGATGGGAATGGAAGAGGGGAATGGAGGTTGGAGTGGTATGCGGATGGGAGTTGGACTGTGGGGCCGTGTGGGACTGTGGCCTGGACGCCTGATGCGTTGCTCTCCTCGCGATGCTAGAGAGAGGTCTGGTGTCTTCGGTTTCAATGGTTCTTCGGTTCAGGTAGAGCACAAAACCGAAACAAAAGCCAAACACCGAAGTTCTGCAACTCAAGAGCCAAAACCAAAAACCGAAAAACCCATATTTCGGTTCGGTTCGGTTCTTGGTAAAAAAGTGCCTAGCCTGATCTAAACAGATAAGCTGGAGCTATTTGTTCCATTTCAGCTTATATAAGGGCATGGGTCTGTTTAGATAAAAAAAAAACTGGACCTGCCCGGGGTGGCCATCGGCCGGCTGCAGGCAGGTACAGAGCGTCAATGCGCTGCTGCCTGCACCTGTGCAGCTCATCAAATCCGCTTCAGCAGCTTCTTTCGCTCGCTGTTCATCATCATACCAGTTCTCAGAAACTACTCACTGCTAGGCTGCTGCGTGCAGCTCGTTTTAATTTGCATTGGACGTGTGCCTGCCAACACTTGTGGCGACCGAGAGCACCCATTGGCCATTTGGCCGCTGTCTGCGGCTGCATCAGCTGGTTTTAAGCTGGCTGACATCATCTTGTATTTGTAAACTGTAAATAGCTTTTTTCCGTAGGGGGTCAAGCCCCTCCTGTTCCCTAAAAAAAAAGAATAAGGAATGACGACGACTAATACCATCGCGTGGGCAAGAAGCTTGCATGCACTCATAATTATTATATGTGTCTGTTATATTATCGCCATTCCTTCTTTCATGGAGCTCATCTTATATGTTACATTGCAAAAACAAAAACAAAAAACAAAAAAACTGATACAATACTCCCTTCATCCACAAAAGATTGCAATTCTCGCTTTTCGAGAAGTCAAATAGTCTGAACTTTGACTAAGTTTATATAAAAAGTACTAACATTCATGATACAAAATAAGTATCATTGAATTTGTTATAGGATATATTTTCATAATACATTTATTTGGAGACATAAACATTAATACTATTTAATATAAACTTGGTCAAACTTGAGCTAGTTTGACTGACACGAACCTCGTAGTTGCATTGTTTCACTACAAGGAATGTGGCTTTACATGACGGATTACTTTGGTCACAAACACTCAAAAATGCGTCATGGTTAACTTACCATGACGATCGAAAAAACCATCATGTATCTCGCGTCATACATTTGGTGGACCGATTGGAGCCGTTGTTAACGGTCACTAACACCAATTATAAACCTTCAACATAACATCCATATATACTTAATTTCATCACCAAACATAGGTTTATGGTTTAAACTAATAAATTCCACGAGTTTTGGTAAATCTGTGTTTTTAGCAGGTTTATCTAGAAAACCGTCGAGGTGGACCTATTCGTCAAAGCAAATCATGTTTATCCGCAACCTAAACTACTTGGGAAGGATCTAGAACACACCAGAAGGCAATCCATCAAAGCAGACCTCGAATGGCTGACATGTGGGGCCGGCCGACCCCACTTGCAGGCCGGTCGGCCTATGGGTCCTGCTGGTCAGTCTTCGCTTTGACGTCGGTTCTTTCACCACCATTGAGGATCAATCTACGCCGTTGCTCGACGTTGGTTCAAATAGAGGGATGAGATAGAGCCATGCTATGCATTTATAGGCTCAATTCAGAATTTAGCCCATAAAGGCCCATGTGCAGTTTAATGAGATATGGTGGAAAGTTTAGTACCAATAAGGCTACTTAGAGGGAGAGGATGCCAGTCGCCCCTCATAAATAGCAGCCTCTACCCCCTCCCTGGAGCCATCCTGAAACCCTAATTCATATTCCCGTCGTCAGGAGCCAGCTATCAAGAGAAGATTAGTCCTTCATAGGATCTAGTCTTGTAAATAATAGTGAGATAGAGAGTGGGGGAAGAGTTTGAAGGAGATGCTGGCCTATCGGTGCTCTCTCTACGGCTTATACCTTGGCGGATCCAAGCATCCTCTGTTGGTGTCTTTCCCTAGTAATGTCCCCAGTTGAATAGTAGAAGACATAGCTTACCATAAGAGAACCTTAGTTATTCTCTTTACGCTCCTATTCATTCTAACCTTAGGTGCCTGCATCCGGTGTAGACCTAGAGCTGCCAGCGGGCCAGTTGATGGAGTAGATGAGCAGTGGCTGCATGACGCATGACGGCGCGCGGCAGCGCTCCTGTGGCGCAGTAGAGTGGCCATGGCGCTTGTAGACTGGCTACCGGCGTATCCTTGCTCGTCGGCATAGATGGGCTGGATGAAGCCAGCGCCGCGCGCGGCGCAGTCCTTCATCTGCCCGGCGGCACGTATCTGGGTATCGCTACCGCTGCCTCCGGCCGATCCGCACCGAGAGCCTCTGCACGAACACGACTCCTCCATGGGTCGTAGCGTTGATGGAACGAAAGAGGCTGCCGGCGCTTCTTCGGCCCATCCACGGGTAGACGACGGTAACTCATCACGCTCCTGCCTCCTCGTAGATGCTGTAGGAGGCAGGTCGCATGCGATCTTCTCGTGGCCATTGCATCATCTTGGCCGACGACACATAGTAGATGAATAGGGGCTGCGTCGCTGCAGCGCTCCTCTAGCGCAGGCGTAGATGATGCTTGCCCGGCGGCGTAGCCGTGCGGCCATCGTCTTCTCCGTGCTCCTCGGTGATCAGCCAGGCGTCGATCTCATCTGGATGGCGCTGGTAGACCGGCTGCCGGCGTCTCCTTGCTCCTGGTGCCGCACCGTAGCGGCGGCTGCCCTTATCGTCCTTCGGATGCAGATTGTCATCCCGCTCCCGTGAAGTCTTGGAGTCCTTTATATAGGCAGCAGCTGTTGTCCAGGCCTCTTGTAATCGTGACAAATCATTGTATCCATGTTAGGTGCATTTAGATAGTTCAGTTAAGTCGTGAACACGTTTGTATTTTCGCGTAGAATCGTGGGCAGGGGCGGAGGTTGCACGCCGCTGCATCATGACCGCGTTAAGGGGGCTGGCTCCGCCATGGCATGCATGCCGTGCATGTCGCACGGACGTTCACAAATGACGGCGTACCGTGCAGCTGCACGTCGTGGCGGGAGTTGCGGATCAAGGCCCATGATAAAGACAATGAAATGCATCAGAAAATAGCTACGCTAGTTGCAGTGAAACTCTCTTCTCTCTCGCGTGTGTTCTCTCCAGGCTGAACGTCGTGTTCGCGGTGATCGCGCGTTGAGCTTCGCAGTGCACCGGTAGGATCCTGGCTCCGGCGGTTATCGTCGGTCCCAACACTGTGGTTTCAGAGCCGGTTCATGTTCTATAGCGGCTCCATAAGCCCACCAAGATCACCTGCATTGAAGAAGTTCAAGCCAAATCCGAGGAGGAAGCCGGAGAAGAAGATGGGTGACGGCGCATTGCCGAGCGCCATGTCTGGCGTCTGGGAGAGCTCGCTGGTCTGGCCGATGCTGGATCGGTCAAACTACTCCGAGTGGGCGATGTTGATGCAGAGCAACCTCGAGGCGATGGAGATCTAGCATGTGATCGATCCAGGCACCAACGTCAAGCGGTCGCAAGATCGCCAAGCCTTGAGCGCGCTCCTGTGTTCGGTGCCGAAGGACATGTGGCAGTCGCTCGGCGGCCGTAAGACAGTGAAGGAGGCGTGGGAGGCGGTGCAGACCATGCGTCTTGGTGCTGATCGAGTGAAGGAGGTCAACGCCCAAAGGCTGCTGAAAGAATTCGAGAACATCGGGTTTAAGGAGGGTGAGATGATCGATGACTTCGGTATACGGATCACCAACCTCATCGCCAACCTGAAGACACTTGGTGAGATGGTGGATGATGCTCGCGTGGTCAAGAAATTCTTGAGCATGGTACCTTCCCGTTTCAATCAAGTGGTCGTCTCCATCGAGATGTTCTGCGATGTGAAGAAGATGACGGTGGACGAGCTAGTGGGCGTCTACGGGCGGCGGAGGACCGACTCGACAAGAAGGTCGAGCAGATCATCGACAAGGCGGGACGCCTTCTACTCACGGAAGAGGACTGGCTTGAGAAACACAAGCACCGTTTCCATGCCGGCTCGAAGGATCGAGGCGGCGGTGCTAGTGCTGGCCACTCGAAGGGGAAGGCAGCGGCGTGCTCAGATGGCGGCACCTCGGGAGCAGTCAAACTGACCTCTGAGGGCACGCCAAGGCGGAAGGGGTGCTGCCATAATTGTGGCATATACGGGCACTGGGCGCAAGATTGCAAGCGTCCCAAGAAGGAGAAGAAGGAGGCACGGCAGCCAGAGGCAAATGTGGTGGTGGGTGGCGCGGAGCAATCGGCGTTGATCCCTATTGATGTTCCTGATGGCGTGTGGGTGCTGGACACCGATGCCAGCAATCATATGATGGGGACACGCACGACGCTGACTCAACTGGATGAAGGAGTGCGCGGCACCGTGCGCTTTGGCGACGGCTCGCGCGTTGAGATCCATGGAGCTGGATCAGTGGTGATGCAAGGTCATCATCAACAACATAAGGTACTAACTGACGTCTACTACATCCCTAAACTCAAGAGCAACATTGTTAGTTTGGGTCAGTTAGAAGAAAAGGGTTCAAGGTCACTCTAGGAGATGGTAAACTGTGTGTGTTTGATCAAGAATGTACTCTGTTAATTTCTGCTCCAAGAACAGCTAATAGATTGTACACAGTCAAGTTTGGATTAGTTCCACCAGTGTGTCTGTTAGCAAAGTCTGATGATGTAGCTTGGCGTTGGCATGCAAGATTTGGCAACTTAAATTTTAGAGCTCTGAGAGATCTATGTTGTAAAAGGATGGTAGATGGAATGCCAACTGTAAACTGAGTAGAGCAAGTATGTGATGGGTGTGTCCTTGGGAAACAACACAGAATTCCTTTTCCACAAGCTTCAAAGTTCAGAGCAGAAAAGGGACTAGAATTAATTCATGCAGACTTGTGTGGTCACATCACTCCAAAAACCCCAGGTGGTTGCTCATATTTTCTGTTAGTAGTTGATGATTATAGCAGATATATGTGGGTGGAGATGTTGAAATCAAAGGACCAGGCTTTAGATTACTTCAAGAAAGTCAAAACTAGAGCTGAAGTTGAGTCTGAAACTAAGCTAAAGGCTCTGAGAACAGGTAGAGGGGGGGGGAGTTCACATCTTATTTGTTCTCAATTTTCTGTAATGAACAAGGAATCAAACACTACACTACTACTCCTTACTCTCCCCAGCAAAATGGGGTAGTGGAGCGTCAAAACCAAACAGTGGTGGAGATGTCAAGGTGTATGCTGAAGGCAATGAAGGTTCTTACAAAATTTTGGGGTGAAGCAGTTTTGACTGTTGTTTATGTTCTCAATAGGTCACCTATAAAGAGCCTATCTGGAAAAACCCCTTTTAAAGCTTGGCACAAGAAGAAACCAAATGTTAGTCATCTGAGAACTTTTGGCTGTGTGGCTCATGAAAAACACAATGGTCCTGGTCTGAGTAAGCTGGCAGATAGATCATCAAAAATGGTTTTCATTGGCTATGAATCAGGCACAAAAGGATACAGGATTTATGATCCATCTACTGGTTGTCTAGTGGTCAGTAGGGATGTGATTTTTGAAGAACATCTAGCCTGGGATTGGACCAGTGCAGCCAGCAGCTCAGTTAGTTCAGTGGAAGAGACTGAAACATTCATTGTGCATTATCGGAGTACTGTAGCAGAACCGACAACAGAGCAAACTGCAGAGTTTCCTGCAGTACAAGAAGAGGGGGGAGTTGTCAATGATCAAGGGGGTGTTGTGGGTCCTAATGAAGCAACACCTAGTCCCTCAAACAGTCCAGGCTCCAGCCAGGCACCTACTGTGGTGTGGGCAATCCACCAAGTCAACACTCTGAAAACACTAATGGAGGACCACTGAGATTCAGAACACTAAATGATCTCCTTGACTCTACTGATGAAGTCCTTGACTATGAATACAGTGGTGTGTGTATGCTGGCAGCTGATGAACCAATGGGAGTTGATGAAGCACTAGAAGAAGAATGCTGGAGAGAAGCAATGAATTGTGAGCTGCAGTCAATACAGGAAAACAACACCTGGTATTATGCAGACCTTCCAAAAGGTCACAAAGCAATAGGTTTGAAGTGGTTTTATAAGGTGAAAAGAGATCCAGAGGGTAACATTGTCAAGCACAAGGCAAGACTTGTTGCAAAAGGTTATGCTCAGAGGCATGGGGTGGATTATGAGGAGGTATTTGCTCCTGTTGCTAGGTTAGAAACTATCAGGCTGATTCTAGCACTAGCTGCTCATGGAAAGTGGGAAGTGCATCACATGGATGTGAAATCTGCTTTCTTGAATGGTGATTTACAGGAGGAAGTATATGCTCATCAGCCTCCAGGTTTTCTCAATCCAAGGCATCCAGGAAAGGTGTTGAAACTGAAAAAAGCCCTTTATGGACTGAAACAAGCACCCAGGGCCTGGAATGCTAAGCTAGATCATGAGCTTGTCAAATTGGGGTTCTATAGAAGTGAAGAGGAACATGCAGCCTACACGAGGGGCAGTGGTGACACATTGTTACTGTTGGGTGTGTATGTTGATGATCTCATCATCTGTGGGCCAGATAACAAGAAGATCCTTGAGTTCAAGCAGCAGATGAGCAGAACATTCAGTATGAGTGACTTGGGCTTGTTGAGCTACTATCTAGGAATGGAAGTGAAGCAAAAACCTGGAGAGATTACTATATGCCAGAGAGCATATGCAACAAAGAATTGTTGAACAGTGTGGCATGACAGGCTGTAATCTAGTTGATGCTCCAATGGAACAAAACATTAAGCTGTTACCTGGGAGGCCTGATCTTGCAAAAGATGTGACCAAATTCAGAAGCATAGTTGGTAGCTTGAGATATCTAGTGAACACCAGGCCAGACATTGCCTTCTCAGTAGGCATGGTCAACAAGTTCATGGAGTCTCCTACTACTGAACATTGGGCTGCTATAAAGAGAATTGTCAGATATGTAGCAGGAACTTCTGAGTATGGGTGCAGATTTGTCAGTAGAACCTCTGCAAACCGGGAACTGTTGGGTTACTCTGACAGTGATCATGCTGGTGATCTTAAGAAGAGGAAGAGTACATCAGGTGTTGTGTTTTTCTTGAATGGCAATGTGGTGACATGGACCTCATAGAAGCAAAGGGTTGTGTCATTGTCTAGCTGTGAAGCTAAGTATATTGCAGCAGCTTCAGCAGCATGCCAAGGAGTTTGGCTGAGCAGGCTCATTGTAGATTTGACAGGTGAGAAACTATAGAAATTCAAGCTTCTGATGGACAGCAAGTCAGCTCTGGAGTTGAGCAAGAATCCAGTGTACCATGAAAGGAGCAAACACATTGACACTCCGTATCATTACATAAGAGATCATTACATAAGAGAGTGCATCAGTGATGTCATTGCAGAGGTGGAGCACATCAGCACTGACAAACAGCTTGTAGACATCCTGACGAAACCACTTGGGAGAATCAAGTTCGTCGAGATGCGTCAACAGCTCGGTGTCAGTAATGTGTGTCACGATTAAGGGGGTGATTTTTTGTCCAAGCCTCTTGTAATCGTGACAGATCATTGTATCCATGTTAGGTGCATTTAGATAGTTCAGTTAAGTCATGAACACGTTTGTATTTTCGCGTAGAATCGTGGCCAGGGGCGGAGGCTGCACGCCGCTGCGTCATGACCACGTCAAGGGGGCTGGCTCCGCCATGCCATGCATGTCGCACGGACGTTCGCAAATGACGGCGTACCGTGCAGCTGCATGTCGTGGCGGGAGTTTCGGATCAAGGCCCGTGATAAAGACAATGAAATGCATCAGAAAACAGCTGCACCAGTTGCAGTGAAACTCTCTTCTCTCTCGCGTGTGTTCTCTCCAGGCTGAACGTCGTGTTCGCGGTGATCGCGCGCTGAGCTTCGCAGTGCACCGGTAGGATCCTGGCTCCGGCGGTGATCGCCGGTCCCAACAGCAGCTAGGGTAGCAGCTGGGCTCCTGGCCGCACGCACGCACCGCCTAAAGTTTATTAGCACGCGCGAAGTATCCGCAACTGGCCCCATGCTGCATGCGCCGTCGGAGTCAGTTGGGACATCTGAAGATTACATGGCTTGCGGAGCCATGCTTATCCAACGTCTAGGATATCTCGTCATCATCCATCTAGAAGCTTTCAATTACTTGGACTAGTATAATGCCCGTGCTAACGCAACGGCAGCATTTCAGGGATGCACAAGACAACAACCAAACTACTATATTTTTTTCTAAGAAACAACCAAAGTGGTAGGAAGCTGAGTAAAGCACCAATTTGTTTCATGTAAAAGAAAAATTACAAGGTTGCAATTGAACAATTAGGACAGCTTTCCTGACATCACGAACCATTAGTTCTTGTGGCATGATGGATGACTTCAGAGTAGAATAACAGGGAATCACATCACAGACATACAAATGCACATGTCTCAAGAACACGTCAAAACTACACTAAACATTTGACGATTTTTTTATAATTCCTAGCAACTATTTCAGCCTTCAACATTGTCTCCCTGGTAGCTCAAATGTCTTCCGTCGATTCCGTCGATAGAGACAACGACCAAGCATATTTGTTGTCACCTGTCTACTGCACGGTTCTTGGAGCTGCAGGCAAATGGACATAGTTCAGAACCATACAAGAAGTATGTCTATCCCTATAATACATAACTTTAAATTATCCTACAGCCACCAAACAAATCCCACCTCTACAGTCGTGACCTAAACTACGTTCACCCCACAAAACACACATAGAAAAAGATAACATTAAAAACGTGCGTACCAAATTAACTCTTTGGAGATTGCTTGGCTTGACCAGATACTGATGCTTTCGACGATCTCTATTCTATTCAGCTCCAGTATGTACTTGTTTCTGAAAATCGGCACTAAGACTAGAGTCAGTAAATTCCAATCGATACACTGCTACGTAAATGATTTTTTAGAGACATCTCGTCTTTTCTTTTTCGAAGGCTTGTAGCCAATAGAAACGACGATCGCCCTAAAACTTGATTTATAAAGGTATTTTTTGTTACGAACCACCTCAAGAAATACCTTTGGTCGGTGTTACCAACCCCCATACAAGTGGCACTGCTGGAAACCGGTACTTTGCCGAGTGCCTGCGGCACTCGGCAAAGCTCGAAATACACTCGGCAAAGGCTTTGCCGAGTGCCGCACTTGGCAAAGGGCACTCGGCAAAGAATTAATCGGCAAATAAGCCTTTGCCGAGTGCTTTTTGTCGGGCACTCGGCGAAGCCTTTGCCGAGTGTCGGAAAAGCACTCGGCAAAGATTTACACTCGGCAAAATAAAAATGCGAAAAAAACCCAAAAATAATAGCAAAAATTTTATTTTCGGGGAAGGGCGTCATCGGCCAGCGCCCGTCGTCCAGCGCCACCGGACATCGAAGTCGCTGTAATTTTTGAGCAAATTTCGCGGCTAATGCGGCCGGTAGGATTCGAACTCACGACCTCACCTTCGTGTGTCTGCTGCTCTACCACTGCACTACACTGTCACTTGTGTCTAGATTCCATTATCTATCCTCATATATTATACTAAATCGAGAGTAAATTGCTTGTTTGAGGCCCTAAACGAATTCAAATTAAAAAGTGGTAAACTACAAAGTTTCATAACTTTTCAAGATCTACAATTTTTATTTAGGAAGTTTTTCCGTCCGAGGTCGTTTGAAAAATTCGAATTTCAAATTTGAGAGATTCAAACGTAGTTTTGCATGATAAGATGATTTCAAATCAAAAAGTTATCAACTACTCCCTCCGTCCCATTGAGTTTGTCGTTTGAAAACCGTGCCCCCCTCACAATCCCGCTTCTCGAGCGACAAACTCAATGGGACGGAGGGAGTACATAGTTTCATAACTTTTGGAGATCTACAATTTTCATTTAGGAAGTTTTTCCATCCAATGTCGTTTGAAAAAATCGAATTTTAAATTTGAGAGATTCAAACGTAGTTTTGCATGATAAGATGATTTCAAATCAAAAAGTTGTCAACTACATAGTTTCATAACTTTTGGGGATCTACAATTTTTATTTAGGAAGTTTTTCCATCCGAGGTCTTTTGAAAAATTCAAATTTTAAAATTTTCAAATACAAACGTCATTTTTGCATGACAAGATGATTTCAAATCAAAATGTTGCCAACTACAAAATTTCATAACATCTCAAGATCTACAAAGTTTATTTTGGTCATTTGGTCATCCGACATAGTGGTAGTAACATTATTCATAAATCTTATATATCTCTCTTCGACTTTCATGAAACTAATATGATGAGAGATATGAGAGAGATGTAGATTTTATGAACAACGTTATTGTCGCTTTGTCAAATGAAGAAATGATCAAAATAAACTTTGTAGATCTTGAGAAGTTATACAACTTTGTAGTTGAAAAGTTTTTCATTTGAATTCATTTAGGGCCTCAAAAATTGCTTTGAAAAAATGATTAGCCGAGGACAAAAAAAAATACACACGGCAAAATGCCTCTTTGCCGAGTGCAAAAAAAAAAGCACTCAGCAAAGACGCATTTTGCCGAGTGCCAAAAAATGGCACTCGGCAAAATACATCTTTGCCGAGTGCCAGAAAAAAGGCACTCGGCAAAGACTCGTTTTGCCGAGTGCCGAAAAAAAACACTCGGCAAAGCCATCTTTGCCGAGTGCCGAAAAAAACACTCGGCAAAGCCGTCTTTGCCAAGTGCCCGATAAAATACACTCGGCAAAGATTCCGGCACTCGGTAAAGTGCCGGTTTCCGGTAGTGTGGCCGCCCCTAAAACTTGATTTTCAGGAGCATTTTATGTTACCAACCATCCCGAGAAATACAACAATTTCTCATCAAGTATTAGCGCTTTCAAAAAAATTTATAAAAGTACAAATTTCAGAATCCGAAAACTCGTAATGAATACGATTTCAAATCATTCACCTTTTTTTCCCAAAAAATCGTGACTCATGAGGCCACAAAACCAAGTCATTGGACATGGATGCATTGTCTGTTGTTCCCATGGCCTATATATACGTAGCTTGGAAACTACTATGGGAACTTGCAAAGCACGGTCGAGTAACAGAGCACACAGCCATGGTTGTAGTTTTGCCGCTATTACTAATCCTCTTGTTCGGTTACTGCCCCACTAGCCGTGCAGCTGGCGACGAACATGGCTTCATAGGCATCGTCGACATGCAGAGCTCACTGAAACCACAGTCCGCCGCCTGCTCCGGACACAGCGCCGGTACGTCCGGTCCGGCTGCAACATCTTCAATGAGAAACATAAATGATGCAGTATTTTGTTTGCTGACAATTACTATGTGTGTGTTAACAATGTTTGACGCACAATGAAATGACAGTGATCCCGCCACACAAAGGCACTTGGGTCCCGTTGTACCGCCATCTCGGGCCGTGCTCGCCGGCGGCGGCATCTACCTGCGCGGCGAAGGCGAGGCCACCGCCGTCATTGGCCGACCTGCTCCGCCAGGACCAGCTCCGCGTCGACCACATCAACAGGAGGCTGTCGTCGTCGTCCGAAGGCATCCGCGTGAGCAAGCAGGCCGGTCCCGTCAAGGAACCGGTGCGTTCCGAGGTGATCCACCTCCACGACCAGCCGGTTATCCAAGTCACAATCGGCTCCGAAAGGAAGACCTCCGCCGGCGGCGGCCAGCAAAGCCAGGCGGCGGGAGTTGTCCAGACGGTGGTGCTGGACACGGCCAGCGACGTGCCGTGGGTGCAGTGCCACCTCTCCGCGTCGGCGACGGACATCACCTCCTCCTCCTCCTACGACCCAGCTAGGTCGGCCACGTACACCGCCTTGGCGTGCAACTCCGCGGCCTGCGCGGAGCTTGGCCGCCTCTACCGCGGAGCCTGCGTCAACAACCACTGCCAGTACCGCGTCCCTATCCCCAGCTCCCCCTCCTTGTCGTCGTCGTCGGGCACGTACGGCTCCGACCTCCTCGCGCTCGCGGCCGACCCCGCCAACGGCGCCTTATCCTTCAAGTTCGGGTGCAGCCACGCCGAGGCCAAGCAGGGCGAAGAAGGCAGCTTGGACAACGCAACCGCCGGAGTCATGGCGCTGGGCGGTGGCCCGGAGTCGCTGGTGTCCCAGACAGCGGCCACATACGGGAGCGCCTTCTCGTACTGCATCCCAGCGACGGAGAGCCGCCAGCCGGGGTTCTTCGTGCTCGGCGGCAGCGGTGACCCCTCCGCTGGCGCCGGGTATGTGGTGACGCCCTTGCTCAGGTACGCGCGGGTGCCCACGTTCTACCGCGTGCGCCTCCTGGCCATCGCCGTCGACGGGCAGCAGCTCAACGTGACCCCCTCGGTGTTCGCCGCCGGCTCCGTGCTGGACTCCCGGACGGCCATTACCCGGCTGCCGCCGACGGCGTACCAGACGCTGCGCGAGGCGTTCAGGAGCAGGATGGCCATGTACAGGGAGGCGCCTCCGCAGGGGAACCTCGACACCTGCTACGACTTCACCGGCGCCTTCTTAGTCATGGTGCCAAGGATCGCGCTGCTGTTCGATGGGAACGCCGTCGTGGCGCTGGACCGGCAGGGGATCCTGTTCCACGACTGCCTCGCGTTCACGTCTAACAGCGACGACCGCATGCCTGGGATACTTGGCAACGTGCAGCAACAGACGATGGAGGTGCTCTACAATGTCGGCGGCGGCTCCGTCGGCTTCCGCCGCGGCGCGTGCTGATGATGCCGGGCTCCTGGCTACCCCGCTAGCACCCAAATAATCTACTGCAGTTTTCAGACTTGGCATTTGTTGTTTGGTTCATTATGTTGTGACAAGCGCTATCTTATTAGCAAATATCCTCGTGCGTTGCAAGTTGTAACGGTACATACGATTTGTGTTGTGCAGTGAACTAGATGTGCTCGTGCCAATTATAATGATGTAGCAACCTTTGTTGGATTAAATTGGGCTTGGCCCAACCCTTTTTTTACTAATCACATAAATTTCAAGACCTACAATAAGTGCCAGGTACAATAGAGGATTAAAATCCCATATAAAAAATTGACTCGAGATTAATTCACCTTAAATAGGTGGATATTATCTGCACCTGAGGTTAAAAAAACTATTGTAAAGCGATCCACGTACTCTCGGATTTGCAACTCAAAACTATAACGGATACCATGTTAGAAGACCAACCTCATCCACGCCATGCTAGAGGAGGATACAATCTGCCTCTACTAAACCATGGACTTCTGTCATGGGTGGGTGGGAGTGGAAAATGGAGCAGAAGTGGGGTGGGAGGAAGAGGGCGCGCAGATGGACATGAGAGAGTGAATGGGCCAAGAGGAGCTGAAGGAGAGACTAATGGGAAGGAGGAGAGAGTGATGGACCAAAAGAAGGTGGAATGAGTTTTAGCTCTTTACCTCCGCTACCACCGCCAAGCGGAGGTGGATAGTCACCCTTGAGCGAGAGGACTATGGACCGTGTCGAGCCAAGACCGGGAGCTAAGTAAATGTGGCGTGCCATGTAGATGAGGAGTGATGATGGAGCTAATAAGGCATGAAAAAGTGATGTGCCTTGCTTGTAGTATAAGGAGTAAGAATTAACGGCAAACTAAAGTTTTAGTACTGAAATGACCACTTTGATATATAGTTATGGATGAATGGGTCCAAAAGTGAAATTTGAGGATTGAAATGGCTAATTTGATAGTTTAGGATGAAGATGAAGCTGAACTCAAAAGTAAACTTTATGGCCAAAACGACCACTTTAGTAGTTTGGGGACGAAATTGAACATCACCTGATAATTAAGGATTTGAGGGATGAAAATAGTTATTCCGGGAAAAAATTGTGTTGTTTATATGTTTGTGTTAAGTAGTGCAGTAAGTTTAAAAAAATGAAAAGCCTTCACATCATACTAGAGGAGGATACAATGTGCCTCTAATAGACCTGGACTTCTGTCGTGGGTGGCTTGGAGTGAAGGACAATAATGGAGTTGAAGTGCGGTGGGAGTAAGAGGACAGATGGACATAAGAGAGAGCGATGGGCCAGAGGGTCTGAAGTGAGAGATATTAACGGACAGAGGAATAAGTTTTAGCTCTTTACCACCACCAAGCGGAGGTGGATAGTCACCCTTGAGCAAGAGGACTGTGGACCGTGTCGAGCTGGGAGCTAAATAAATGTGGCATGCATGCCATGTAGATGAGGAGTGGGGCTAGAGGTGATAATACATGAAAACGTGATGTGCCTTGTAGGATGAGTAAGAATTAACCCAAACCAAATGTTTCAGGACTGAAATGGCCACTTTGATTTATTTATTTTAAATAATGGAACAAGGCACCGGCCGCTACACCCCTGGAGGGATATACAAAGCCGTACAACACACCACCAAGCACTTAGGCTCACAAAACATCGAAAAAAATCAAGACACAATTACACAAAGAAACAGAAAACACCAAATAAACAGAATGAATGAGTCCAAGAGTAAAATTTGAGGATTGAAAATGGCTACTTTGGTAGTTTAGGATGAAGCAACTCAAACGTAAACTTTATGCCCAAAACAGCCACTTTAGTAGTTTAGGGATGAAATTGAGCATTACCCGATAAGTGAGGGATGAAAATAGTTATTCCAGGAAAAAAATTTGTACTGTTTATATGTTTGCGGAGTATTTTGTAAGTAGTGCAATAAGTTTAAAAACAATGAAAAGACTTCACAAGTTTTAGCGAATCTGCTTAGCAAGGAGAGCAGGGCACCGCATCTTTTTTGCTATGCTCCTTTTCGTGGCCATTGGCCTATATATACATTGCCGTTGCCAGGAAACCACATGGCAACTTGGAAGCAGTTTTCAGTAATAGTATAAGCGCAGATAGCAGCAAGATACACGGCCATGGCTGTTTTGCCAATATTGTTAGTACTCTTGTTGGGTTCTTCTCCAACTTCGTCCCGTGCAGCTGATGAAGAACTTGAGGTCACTGTCCTGGACGTGAGCTTGCTGGAACCGCATACCAGCTGCTCCGGACACAGGGGTACGTTCATCGTCCTACCGGTGCATATGACTGTGTAAAGTCAAGTGTAAATTAACATTGGTTGGCACACAATGACAGTGATGCCGCCCCACCCCCACAACAACAGCTGGATGCCACTGTTTCGTCCTCTCGGCCCGTGCTCGCCGTCGTTCAAGGCTGCTGCAGCGGCGGCGAGGGCGAAGCCGTCGCTGGCCGCCGTGCTCCGGCAGGACCGGCTCCGCGTGCACCACATCCATAGAAGGGTGTCCGGCTCCCGCGGTGCCCGCGCGAGCAAGGGCTCCTTCAAGGAACCGGTGTCTGTCGAGGAAACCCAGCTCCACCACCAGGCCGCCATTTCCGTCGAGGTTGGCACGTCACAGACGAGCTCCGAGGTACGTTCGAACTGGTAGTTTGGTCTTTGTTTTTCAGTGATTTCTGTCATGCATTAATTCCTGTACATTATATATCAGCCTAGTAGCAGCATTCATCCGGCGGCCACCGACGGCAGCTCAAGCCCACCGGTGACGGTGGTGCTGGACACGGCCGGCGACGTGCCGTGGATGCGGTGCGTGCCCTGTACCTTCGCGCAGTGCGCCGACTACGACCCAACCAGGTCGAGCACCTACTTCGCCTTCCCCTGCAACTCCTCCGAGTGCAAGCAGCTCGGCCGCTACGCCAACGGCTGCAGCTCCAACGGGCAGTGCCAGTACATCGTCACGGGCGACTCGTTCACCACGTCGGGGACGTACAGCTCCGACGTGCTCACCATCAACTCAGGCAACCCCGTCCACGGCTTCCGGTTCGGCTGCAGCCAGAACGAGCAGGGCAGCTTCGAGAACCAGGCGGACGGGATCATGGCGCTCGGCCGCGGCGTGCAGTCGCTGATGGCCCAGACGTCGTCCACCTACGGCGACGCCTTCTCCTACTGCCTCCCGCCGACGGAGACCACCAAGGGCTTCTTCCAGATCGGCGTGCCGATCGGAGCGTCATACAGGTTCGTGACGACGCCCATGCTGAAGGAGCGGGGGCCAGCGTCGACGCTGTACCGCGCGCTGCTGGTGGCCATCACCGTCGACGGGAAGGCGCTGAACGTGCCGCCGGAGGTGTTCGCGGCGGGGACGGTGATGGACTCCCGCACCATCATCACCCGCCTGCCCGTGACGGCGTACGGGGCGCTGCGCGCGGCGTTCAGGAACAGGATGAGGTACCGCGCCGCGCCGCCGCAGGAGGAGCTGGACACCTGCTACGACCTCACCGGCGTCCGCTACCCCAGGCTGCCGAGGATCGCGCTGGTGTTCGACGGGAACGCCGTCGTGGAGATGGACCGGTCCGGGATCCTGCTCCACGGCTGCCTCGCCTTCGCGTCCAACGACGACGACAGCTCGCCGTCGATCCTCGGCAACGTGCAGCAGCAGACGATCCAGGTGCTCCATGACGTCGGCGGCGGGAGGATAGGGTTCCGCAGCGCCGCCTGCTGAGTGCTTGCTGCTGACCGATAGGAATCTTAGCTTGGTTCTTTTTGCATGTTGTGCACGCCTATGCACAAAACTGAGTATGTTCTGTTAGTGCCAGTGGACCTTGTGTAATACGTATTGTTAGGCAATGGAAATTCTATTTCGTCAAGCACAGAGAGAGTGTCGGAACCATGTTGTGAATTCATTGTGATCGCTCCGGTGGCGGGTATTCCTGATGAAGCCAACACGGTTTAATTTGGTTGCATCATCGTGCGTGCTCCGGTGGCGTTCTAATGATGGATTGCTTCAATTTCTTGGGCACTAGCTCTGTTCTCATTTCTCAACACCAAGGACAGTGTGCAATAGAATGGCAATCCGACAAAGAGGACACGAAGGCCGCGTTCGGATGGCCGGATATCGTTGCAATCCGAAGAAATTAACGCTGTCAAACGCATTAACCGTGAATTGTTTTTACGTCGGAATGCATAACCCAAGGGGGTTTTGCGAGTGGTGTGGGAGTATATATTTGTGTAGCGTCGGATACTATAAAAAGGGGTACCCTAAGCAAGATCCAAGAATATTGCTTAAGTCTTGCTAAAACCAAAGCCAAAAGACTACTGCAAGGTCTCGGCAGAATTCTCCGATTCGCCCGAGGCCTTGCGCCGAGGCCTCATGTGAAACAGGCCTAAAACGTCCCGCCGAGGCCCTCTCGCCAAGACCCTCTCGCCAAGGCCTCGCCCCGAAAGGCCTCGGACGGATCTTCAATTCTCCGATTCGCTCGAGGCCGGGCTCGACGAACGTACTCGTAACCTCCGTCCCGACCGAACTCCTCTGGCAAAACGTCACGTCCGGATTAAATGCACCCAACCACTCCCGCAAACGTTAGCCGCACGCAGGTACAGTGCGGGCAGAACAACTGACAGGACAGGGACCGGGCACAGCATGGGTTACCTGCCACTATACTCACCACTGTGCTCCCTCCTGACACTTATACTACCCTGTGCTACCTAACCCCTGCGCCAAGGACAAAGCGGCATGGAAGGTCGAGTCCATGTCCCTGTAGCCTCGGAAACAGCAAGAGAGCCCAGCTGCTCGGTCTCTGCCTCGTCCGAGACCCCCCGGCAAGGCCTCGGACGTGCCATTCCTTCTCCGCCTCGGCCGAGGCCGGGCTCGTCCCGCATTCTCGTCGCCTCCGCCTCAATTGCCCCTCTGGCGGGCCATCCCATCCGTGTAAGTACCCCTAGTTACGCCTACGTCAGCCACGATTGGCAGGGTATGGCAAAAGGGGCGATGGGACAGCGGTCAAATCACCTTTTTACCATCCCCTACTGACGGTGCAGAGACTACAGCTCCCTGCGGACGCCCATTCCGCACTTTTTCACCGGAATCGGGTACGACACAGACCACCGAGACCCCGCGTCGTACACAGGTCACCTCCGAGGCCTCGGCAAAGAAGGCCTCGGCACGATCAGCTCCAGCACCCGCTAGGCCTCGGCACTCCACCAGGACAAGAGTCCACCAGGCACGACATGTCACCTATAGTGGAGGCCATACTGACTAGACATCAACAAGGACTCTTACGACTTCAACAGCCTCGGGCATGGCCTGCGTGACGCACCGGTGATCAAGTACCAATTACCATCTCGACACTGTGCTGCTATAGGAATAGACCACAGTACTAGATCTTCCTTTCTCGCTAAGGCTCCACGTGTAGCTCTCTCATGTACTCCTGGCTCCCTCCTTATGGCTATAAAAGGAAGCAGCTAGGGCCGTTTCTAGGGATCGAAACCACGCCAGCCCTCACGCAAAAACGCACTCACTCAGTTCACGCGCGCTCCCACGCTGCCTGAGAGCAATGACTCAAGCAGCCCGCACCATTCCACGCCGAGACCTGGGACTAGCTCCCTCTCTCACCCAGCTTGTAACCCCCTACTACAAGCACTTCGGTGCAGAGAATACAAGATCGATCTCCTAGATCGGGCGTTGGGTGCCGATTGCTGAACAAAGATAAACCTTGTGTCTCTTTGCATCACCATCCGGGATTAGGGGCACGCAGATTCACATTTATGGTTGGTTGAGGACCCCCGATGCAAACATAGCGATTAGGCGCGCGCCGGTAGGGGCCTCTGCGTGTTAGCGTGATCGTCCCAACAAGTTCGAATGGTCGACCCCATCGCCCACTACGTCTCGGCATGGTGGTGGTCGGTTTGGGAGCCTAGAGTTCATGTCTCTAGGATGTGAGTACGATATGGTACTCCTAACACCCAGAGCCCCACCGCGGCGACGACGTTATTGCATCGGCAAGACGGGCGCGCGGCGGCGCCGGCCGCCGCTCTCAAATCACGCTTCGCCCGAGCACACGACGCGAAAGGGACTACTCTAACGCCACGTGAACTCGTGGCTGTGCGCCGCCGCACTCGCCGACATCCCATGCCCGGTTGTTGGTACAGAGTCCCTGGCTGGGGACCTGTCTAGCCTAAGCATGGGCAGAGGAAGGACGCCGCAAGCCTTGCGACGTCCCGTCGTCAAGCTCTGCCCCGCCGCTTCCGGGGGAATCGACTCAGGCGGAGCGGAGCCCAGCGGTGGCACCATCCCGTACCTCTTGGGCTGAAAACATCGCCGCCGCTGCGCTTTACGCTTCGCCTCTCAGCGCGCGCGAGCTCTCGGGACACCACCAACGATTTGCCCTCGACTTCTCCACCACAATCTCTACCCACACCCACACTGACTCCTCGGAGGAGGACGAGGCATGGGCCGGAGTGGACTTCTCTAGGCTTCATGACCCCGAGGCTATGCGCCGCTTCTTGGTCGCAATCGACTACTGCTTCGGCCACTCCGACTCCGATGACGAAAGCACTTACGATCCCACTCGAGAGTGTTTCCACGTCGGGCTCGGAATGCCAGGGGCAAGTGACGAGGGGGAGAGGGCAGGCAACCGGTCCCCACTCCGCCAAGGGGCGGGTGACGCCACACCCCTGCTCGTCGAGTTCCGGGCGGCGCGGAACGTGAACATCGCCCCCGGGGATACCCGACGCCTAGACCTGGAGCAACTCTGCGAGCTCCAGGCAAAAGTCGACCAAGATCGGCTCATGCTGCAGCAGCTCCGAGACACTCTCGAGCAGGAGCACCAAGGCCGCGGTGACGGCGGAGGGGCCCGACAGAGGGCCCACGACGTGCATCGCCGCATCAACAACGACGAAGGAAGTGAGCAACCCTCAATCTTCAATCGCGCTAGCCAGAACATCACGACGGCGGTGATGCTAGTGCGAGCGATGCCCGAGCCCTCTACCACGGAGGGGCGACGGGTCCGCGGCGAGCTCCGAGACCTTCTCGAGACCGCCGCAGTACAGCAGGCCGAGAGCTCCATGTCTCGGTGACGTGAGAACATCTCGAAGTGGCCCTCGGTGCACGATCGCCTCAAGGCCCCCTCAGTCGATGACCACCTCAGTGACCGACGCGAGGCGCAAGAGGACCACGACGTGGTCAGCAGGCGACGGCGCCACGACAACAACGGGCTCGCTCGAGGTTACCACCCACACTGAGGTGGTCGCTACGATAGCGGGGAGGACCGCAGTCCTTCTCCTGGGCCGCCTGGCCCTAGAGTCTTCAGCAAGGCCATCCGCGGCGCTCCATTCCCTGCCCAGTTCCGGCAACCGGCCAATCTCGCAAAGTATAGTGGCGAGACCAACCCCGAGCTGTGGCTAGCCGACTACCGCCTGGCTTGTCAGCTAGGTGGTGCGAGCGATGACCTGCTCATCATCCGTAACCTCCCTTTGTTCCTATCAGACTCGGCGCGAGCCTGGCTCGAACACCTCCCTCCCTCACAAATTCACAACTGGCGCGACTTGGTCAAGGTCTTCATTGGGAATTTCCAGGGCACATACGTGCACCCCGGGAACTCCTAGGACCTCAAGAGTTGTCGCCAGAAGCCGGACGAGTCTCTCCGAGACTTCATCCGGTGCTTTTCCAAGCAGCGCACCGAGTTGCCCAGCGTCGGTGACTCAGAAGTTGTCCAGGCTTTTCTCTCCGGCACCTCCTGCCGAGACCTGGTCCGAGAGTTAGGCCGGAACCTACCAACTTCGGCGGCCGTGCTCCTTGACGTCGCCACCAACTTCGCCTCGGGCGAAGAAGCTGTCGGGGCCATCTTCCCCGATGGCGAAGCAAAGGGGAAGCAGAGGGACGAGACCTCTGGGGCCTCGCCCTCCCATTTCCCCAAGAAAAAGAAAAAGGGGCGCCAAGGGAAGCAAGAGGCCCTTGAGGCTGAGGTTGTTGCAGCCGCGGATCACAGGAATCCTCGAGGCCCCGCCAGAGGCCCCGGACTATTCGACGACATGCTCAAGAAGCCGTGCCCTTACCATCAGGGCCTGGTAAAGCACACCCTCAAAGAGTGCACCATGCTCCGACGCTACTACGCCAAGCTCGGACTTCCCGATGACGACGCCAGGAAGAAGGGCGTCGGCGACAGAGACAACGACAGGGATGACGGGTTCCTTGAGGTGCACAATGCCTTCATGATCTTTGGCGAGCCTTCAGCGTGCCTCACGGCGCGTCAACGAAAGAGGGAACGCCGGGAAGTCTTCTCGGTTGAGGTAGCTACTCCCCAGTACCTTAACTGGTCTCGGGAGGCGATCACCTTCGATCGGGAGGACCACCCCAATTATGTCCCAAACCCCGGGCAATACCCGCTCGTCGTCGACCCGATTATCGGCAACACTCGGCTCACCAAAGTGCTGATGGACGGAGGTAGCAGCCTCAACATCATCTACGCCAACACCAAGGAGCTCCTAGAGCTCGACCAGTCGATGCTCCGAGGGGGTGCCGCACCTTTCCACGGCATCATGCCAGGGAAGCGCGCACGACCCCTCGGACACATTGATTTGCCGGTTTGCTTCGGCACTCCCTCCAACTACCGCAAAGAGATCCTCACCTTCGAAGTGGTTGGATTCAAGGGAACCTACCATGCCATTCTGGGGCGCCCGTGCTACGCCAAGTTCATGGCGGTCCCGAACTACATCTACCTCAAG